AGTCAGGGCCGACACAACAAAAATGTATAGTTTTTGAATTTTTCTTTTTTTTTTCTTTTTTTTATTAGGACGGGTCAAGACCCGGGCCGGGCCGGTCATGGACCCGACACAGACCTAAGCCGTGCCGGTTCAGGGTCCGCCATACCCAACCCTTCGACCCGGCGGGACCCGGCCCGGATTTTGGCCATGTCTAAGCCGAGCTAACCAAACGAGCTTTAAATGAGCTCGAGCTTGGCTTGTTAAGGTTTCGAACTTGAGTCGAACTGAGCCTTAACGAGCTGAGCCGAGCCAGACTCGTTTAATTTAACAGCACTAGTTGTGAATAAAAAAGGAAGTTTCATAAGATGTCATAACAAGAGGGACCAAATTGTAAGATCTTACTCTATGGTTCGCTGCTGCGTCAGCAGTCGATTGTTTTTCTTCGCGATTGGAGATATTAAAAACCATCATAAATTTCTTTGCAACTGAAAAGAAGATTGCTGGTAATTACAGACGAGAAATTGTTTCAAAAATTTCTCAACGTTTTCCCTTAATTCTTCTATCTCCATCCCCGTTGATTGCTTTTTTTTTTTTGTTGGTTTTCTGGATCCAGGATTTGAAGGTCAATTTCCCACATATTTACCTCTTGTTCTGTAAAGAATAGAATTCCATCGCTGGTTATGCTGATTGTGATAGGGATTATATGTTTATTGGATTTTGCAGCGTGTTTGGATTGCGTAATGCTGTGATCTGGAGTTTGAAGAAGTGTAGGAATGGCGGGTGCAGGAGGGGTTAATATGGAGAAATTTGAGGAGTATTTCCAGAGGGCGGATATGGATCGGGACGGAAAGATCAGTGGAGCTGAAGCTGTGTCTTTCTTGCAGGGATCCAATTTGTCGAGACAAGTTCTTGCTCAGGTTAATTCCATTTCCATATGTCAGTTTACTTTGATTCAATTTGTGGATGAAATAGTAGTTTCACCTTCTGTGTTTAAGTGATCCACGGTCTTAGTTGAAGCTGAGTTTTGTGGCTGCAACTACTATTCAGTACTATGTAAATGTGTGAGTTGGGGATTTTACTGATTGTTTTTGTTAATTAATTGTTTGAAGTGATTGGCATGCTAGCAAGATAATAATAGGTTTAAGCTGTCTGGCGGGGTTATGCTGTGAACTCTTAAGTTGGAATTTTGTATTGTAGAAGGACAAGAGTAAATAAGAGTTCTTGAGGGTACATCGGGAACAGGAGAACCACATACACAATTAGTCTTTTGGAAATGCTATTCATTAATCTATTATGATTTACCCATTTTTCGGACAATGATGTTGCGCTAATGATCACCCTCTTTCTCGATATCTGTTTTGATCTCTGCAATTTGTCTTCATTAAAGCTTTGATTATCGTTTTTCCTTAGCAGTTTTGTTTTAGCTATACCATAAGCAGTTTCCTGGGCAACCAGGAAAAGGAAATCCTGTTGTACTTTAATTTCATTTCTTCTCATTGATGAAGCCTTGCATTTGTTCTTTTTCATTTTTCTGCTGTTTTCATTTTTATTCTGTTTAGGTGAGTTATTAGCTTAACTGGAACGGAGATCCTGATCTTTTTGATGGAAAAATTTGTAAATGTTATCGATTGTTTGGGTTTGTTGCAGATATGGGCGCATGCTGACCAGAATCACACTGGATTCCTCAGTCGCCCTGAGTTTTATAATGCTCTTAGGCTTGTTACAGTCGCTCAAAGCAAGCGAGAATTGACACCAGATATTGTCAAAGCAGCACTATACGGCCCTGCTTCTGCGAAAATACCGCCTCCACAAATAAACATGGCCACCACACTTGTGCCACAGCCAAATCCAGTGGGTGCTTCTCCTTTACCACAGATGGGTGCGACAAAACAATCATTTCCTCAAAATTCTGCGTTAAGAGGGCCAGCTTTTCCAACTCCTAGTGCAAACCCGCAGTTTGGGGCCTTGCAACCAAATACCGGCATGACCCAACAGTTGAGACCCATGCCTTACTCCGCAGGCGCGAATCAGCTGCGTGGACCCCCACCTTCAAGCTCGGGCGTCAATCAGCAGCACCCACAATTACAACCTACAATTACTATCAACCAGCATTCCCCACAATTTCAGCCTGCAGGTACAATGAACCAGCAGTTTGGTCAGGTCCAACCTACAAGTACAAGTGTGAACCGGCCATTTGGACAGTCACAACCTCTGAACACAGGAACGAACCAGCATCTTGGACAGGTACCTCCAAGTGCAAATATAAACCAGAATTTTTTGCCCACTCAAGGTAACCAGATAAGACCGCCCCTGTCAATGTCTATTACTGCTTCACATCCACCTCAGGCGGCGAGCAGTCCAAATGTTTCTGGGGTCATGGCTACTCCTGGGCTTTCAAACTTAAATAGAGATTCGCCTGGTGGGAGTAGTGGCCCTGCTTCGTCTGGACCATCAACACAAAACAACTTACTTAGAGGACTCAATCCCTCGATTTCAACTGTTGCTCCAAGTCCCCAAGATCTATTTTCAACAGTTTCTGCAACCACGGCTAAGGATCTTAAAGGATCGGTTACTTCAGGAAATGGGTCTACTCCAGATTTGTTTTCTGGCAACCAGTCCTCATCATGGAAAGTTTCTTCTGCTCCACAACAACCTGGGATTAATCTGCCTACCTCTACAGCCGTTGTTCCTGTCACTTCAAGTTCCCAGCTGCCTGCTAAGCCTGATCCATTTGAAGCTTTGAGAAGTACTCTTATAAAACCATCTACTGCAACCCAAACTGCACAGACACAGTCTCTCCCGAAATCTAATCAGCAGGCTCCAACTCAAGTAACTTCCTCAGTCTTGTCTCCTGGGGGCCAAGCTGGGTTAGGGAATTCCACCCCTGAGCAGCCTCAAGCTCCATGGCCAAAAATGACACGTGCTGGCATTCAAAAATATGCAAAAGTTTTTATGGAAGTAGACACTGATCGAGATGGGAAAATCACTGGTGATCAAGCCCGCAACCTATTTTTAAGTTGGAGGCTTCCAAGAGGTAAAAGAAAAGGCTATGCTAATTCCTAAATCTGTCCATGTGCGCTTTCTTTTCTTTTCCCTGTGCTTGGAGGCCAAACTTTCATATTTTTGTGCCGCTAGAGTTCGATTAGGATATATGTAGAATCTCTTATGATAATATATATTTTTGTACTATCTGCAACCAAAGTTTCTCAAACTGTTTGAATTTACTCATGCTTGGGTGTTATTGCTTGTTGATGTTCATTTGCCAGTCTGATTCTGCTCAGAATCAGAACAGTAGTTCTCATTGTATGGACTCTGCTTTTTTATCGTAGACCACTAAAAGTACCAACAAAGCTCTTTAATGGCCATCACTTTTTTTTATGCCCTCCCTGTATGTTCATGTGTATTGCCTGCCTATAGTTCCAATTACTGCATACATTCTTCATTTAATGAAGCACCTCTATGGCATTATTTATGCAAGCTATTTATGCTTGCTGATTATTTAGTTTTAGGTTTGCGTTAACTGCTTGAAAATTTGTCCCATTGGAAGTCATTATCAACTTTTTATGGCCAGTCCAAATTCAGATGGTATTCACGAGAACAACTTCCTTTGTCTGCACAATTTGCTCGCTATAGAACTTCGAAGTATTTAGATTTGGCTGTCCATTAAAAGAGGCAAAAGCATTGGATGAACATATGATATCTGGATTAGTGTTACACCTTTTTCTGTTTCCTGTGCATCGGATCTATCCGATTCTTGGATAACAACATGCTTCTTGTTATGCGACCATCTCAGAGGTCTTAAAGCAGGTTTGGGATTTATCTGATCAAGATAGTGATAGCATGCTTTCTCTGAGGGAGTTTTGCGTTGCTCTCTATTTAATGGAGCAGTACAGAGAAGGACGCCAACTTCCATCTGCCCTTCCCAATAGCGTCATGCTCGATGAAACTTTATTGTCCTTGGCAGGACCACCTACAGCTTATGGAAGTGCAGGGTGGGCCTCGGCCACTGGTAATAATTTCCTTGGTTCTTAAGCTGTTCAAATTTTGTTCGGTGTAAATGGTTTCACTTTATCTTTCACCTTTAGGTATAAGACCGCAACAAGGCTTCCATGGTTCCCAACCCGTAACGCCAGCTGGTTTAAGGCCTCCAATGCAGCCTATAAATTCTCAATATGATGGATCCATTCAATTGAATCAGAAAAGCTCTGGGGGTCCTACAGTAGATAATTCCCATGGTAATCAAATCAGTAATGGGAATGCAAAATCTTTGGATGCTCAGGAGCTGGGGGATGCTGAAACAAACGAATTGGTATTGCCTGCCATTAAATTTTTACTTTTCTGTTTCACTGTAAGGTCCTCAGACTGTTGCGGTGGTGAGCTCCTTGTGAACCAAATGGGTTTCAGGTTGTGTTGTTAATTGCCTAAGTTTTATCACATAATTACTTGTAAGTATGGAGTTGTAGCATGCTTGCATACTTGTTCTCCTGAATCTTGATTCTTATTTCTCAAGAAATTTTCCCTGTAAATGGTTTTCTTCAGTAATTCTTCTATATAAAAACTTGCAAAAACCTAAATAGGTTAATATGAAATTAATATCTTGATTAAGGATGTTAAGGGGCATGTTATGCTATCCAGTTTGATTACCTTTACATGAAGATATATTCTGAAATTGAATATAAAAAGAATTCTGGTTTTTTCTTGCTGGTTAACATTTTTTTTTTTTTTTTTTTTTTGGGTTGGAACTACGATTGAAAACAATTTTTTTAACTCAAAATCCACTATTCATCTAATCAAACTTTTTTTCTCCTCAATATTATCAACATAATACACTATTCAGCCTCTCACATATTTATAACTACCAATCATTTGCAATCATTATTTTACTACTTTTATATTTAATCATTATATTTATCTCATATCCATTCACAAACTCAAAATTAATCCATTC